AACTATATATTTTAACTGGAAGGATTTTAGTCATCAGATGTGGGATTCTTAAGTTATCAGGGAAACAAGCTGAGAAACTGCTTTATTCTGTGTTTAACCGGTTTATATCCATTTGTTTTGAAGAGGAGGAAACCTCTGCAGATAATTCAGCTCCCGCTAAAAAAGCCCCGAACAATGAACACTGAAGGAATCCTAACTGGGAGAAGCTTACTGCAATGACGGCTATGGTGGTGAAGACAACAACTTCCATGATCCGACGCTACTCATGACGCCATGACATGTCGTTTCTTGTTCTGGTTTTGATGTGACAAACTCCCTAGCACCAGAAATGAATCACCAAAGTTATTAAAATTCCTCCTGAGGGAAACACGAGTGTGTCGGAAATGTAACAGCAATCTATCCAACAGTTGTCGAGACATTTCACTAAAAGACAAAAATGTCCACCCAAAGTCTATAGGATTCATCTTGTTGGGGCTGTGAGTGTCTGGACCTCATATCCCTGCAATCCATTCAAAAGTTGTGGAGATGATGATGACTTGGACCAACGTGGTGAACCAACCGTCCATCATCCCTCGAGCCATGCCACTAGGGTGGCTAAAAGGCCACTCTGGGAAGTAGTGCAACATCTTATACTTAAAGATAAACACATAGTCTGAGCCACAGAGAAAGGTTTGTACCAAGCTCAGTTTGAAAGTGTAACAATAGCAATCAAAAGAATAATGTTTGACTGCAGTTTCAGTGTACATCCCTACAGTAAATAGCTACAGGATCTCTTGGGCACACTCCAAATCCTGAAAAACAAAGTGAGGTATGTTTGCAGTCTGCTGACTACACTAGAAAGGTTCTTTTAACTCCATTGGAATACAAAGGAGCACTCTGCAGGACTTTTGTTTATGACTTGATGAATTCCTTCTTCTGCCAGCAGTCAAGAACAGATGTGCTGGGAGGTGGGGTGGGGGGTTTTATGAACACTCCCACAATACAGATCAGACCAGATCAGCAAATTCAGAATGTGATTAAAAGGTTTTTATTGTTTTATACATGCAGGTGATATTCAGAGTTTACATAATAACTGCATTAATAAGGGTAAAATGTCTCTTTAATGGTCCTTGTAAGGATATTCATTGTGCATGTTCTTTATACATATCCTGTAGGTGTATAGAAACATAAATAGGTAATGAAGATCTTTGCATAAACAACAGTCTCTTGATAACAATGAATCAAATACACATTCTTTAATGTCTTCATCCATTTAGTAAATAAACAACATATGAATCATTCAGAAGAATCACCTCAGTTGACTTCTCTTCGCCCACAAGCTCTGAACTACTTCTAATTACTCAGTAGAAGTCTGGAAACTGTATTCATTAACACACAACAATGGTAGTTAGTAAAACACACTGTGTTAATGACTTCTCTGCTTCAGAAGTTCTGTTTTTAAATGTTGTGTCGTACTTCATTTTCTTGTCACTGTCACTGGACCAGTGCACCGTTTTAACTCAAGCATCATGCGTGTTGTGTACTCAGGCATTTTTATTACATTCACACGCCATATGATCTGAAGTCAGTGGGGATTGGACATGTGGGTGCTAACAGATCTAATGTTTTACAGTATGTATTATGGAAACCAGCTGCCCTGAGCTGACCCACAGGGAGTGTTATTTGTTGACGAAGACAGCAAACTGAGCTTTTAACAGCCTCTGGGCTAAGCTGCTTTCCAGCCATGTATGAAAAGTGACATCGGCTGAGTCCCCTACGGCACTAGGACTAAATGTCCATAGCTGTGTTGTTACCAACACAGGACCGGTTTAACTAGCGTGCTGGATCAGAAAGTGGGTTAGCAGTGAACTGGAGGCCAATGTGAGCAGTTCAGTGTGGATTTATACTGCCATCTTGTGGTTGAAGAGCAGATGTGAACAGTACTGACAATATTAGTGTGAGTGTTTTTGTTTCAATCCACTGATTTTATACATGAAGTTCAGTTTACTCTTTATAATCAGTCGTGTGAAAAGAGACAACGACCCTAATGATGTCATAGTGAGGTCACCAGGATTATCAGGCCACTACAAAAGTTTAAGCAGAAAGCATATGTTGCAAGGTGGAGGGATGGAGTTTGAAAGACATGGGGAGGAAGGCTTTAATGGAAGATGCTCCTGTGTTGCATTATGGGAAACTTATGAAGCAGTGTTTTTGGAGGATATCTGGGCCTGATCAACAAAACTAATATGAAGCATAAGAAATATTACACAGTCCACATAATAATCTGTTGGTGAAACCCTCTGCAGGCTGTCTACTGACATGATCAAAGTAGCTTTAAAGTGTGAGTTGTTTATGTTGGGGAAATACTCATTCAGCGTTTCCAAAAGGAGTGCATTATATGATTTTTTATCAGTGGGGAAGTTTCACATATATTCTGGAAAACAAGAACCAAAACAAATCACATCCCAGTTGATGAAGCTCCTGTATAGACGTTCCATTTCATCAGATGTGACAGAATTGCATCAGGAAACAGTCTGACCTCAAATGGATCTGTTACTGGTTCATCATTAAACGTGTTAAAGCAATAGAGCTTGTTATGGAAGACTGAGAAATCCACAGGGATGGACAGGTAAGGAGGGTGGACAGGGGTCACGTGGCAGGTATTTTATATCGGCCTATATATATATCAGATAGGCTGTAGCATGTATGTAGTAACATAAACTGCATTTGTAATAATTATTACATAATTATCTCTTGGGAAAGCTTCAAAATCAAGTGTATTTCTATGTTTGAGACTTGTTATACATAAATTATAATAAGGCTAATCAATATATATGTGTATATATATATATACACATATATATGTATATTCCTTTCTTTTTTTTACTCCTTTGCTGATGAATGAAATATGTCTGTATGATAAAGACCCCCTTTCGCCTTGTCAAACCTAAATAACACCAATAACTTTGTCTTTAAAACAATGAAACCGTATAATGAGGGTGTGCACCACTGACATTATATATAATATAATAATGTAATATATGTGCACGTTGAAAGAGAGAGAAAGAGAGAGATGGAAATCGGACCAGTAGACAAAACATCTTATTTAGCCGCTAATAGTGCAAGAAATCATGAAACATACTATCAGAAATGTTGTTTTAGAGTACTTATTTTGATTATTGCTCACAGTTTATTGTGGAAGTAATTATGTACAGCATATTATCATATTATAAAGTATTTCTGATTCTAACAAGTTCCGGCTTTAAAATCGTTCCCTTGCGCATGCGTATTATAGCCGCCGGTTTGCAGACGTCCAGTGCTTTGCTTCAGTGTGAGAGGTTTGTGAGCTGTATTCAGAAGGATTTCTCTCTTGACACTGAAATCTTCTTTGATATCCAGTCAGCCATGACAGCGTCAGAATGAACGTTTTTATCGTCAGTAGATTTTAGTATCGTATTTTATTGTATTTAAACCACAGTTTAGACTGCAGTGTATGCTTTGTTATAAATACTAGACCAATACTTGCTCCCAGTAGCAGATATGATTTGTTTAAGCGTAACTCCTCCCGCGTGGCGTGACGTACATATCCCAGTATGCTCCGCGGCCCAGGATATGTGTTAAACTTTGACAAATTCAGGCTTATAAACAGCAAATAAACACGCTGTATTACCATGGATATTATCTTAAGATGGTCAAACTGTGTACATTCGTTTGTTGGCAGTAACGTTAATGTGTCTGACACCGTGACTGAGACCGTGACACCGAGGCGGAGCTATAAATACTGGGAGGCTCCCGTTGCTCTCTCGGTTGGTCCGATGGCGGTGAGATTTCAATTGATTGCTACAGTGAGTTACAGAACCTCTACGTTTCTTCTCTCCCCTCCCTCACCGCCGACCTTGACCAGCCTTTTGACCATTTCACCTTCATAGTTTTAATGTTTTTAAAGGGCAAACAGTAATTCATTGAAATATGGATTTTACAAGTAAATTGCTCAAGCCTCTCTAAAGGGAAAAGACTTTACCAGGGCAGGAAGCCATGGATATACTGTATAATAGTCACACAGCATACACAATGCAAAACAACAACAAACTACATGTGTGCAAGCAGCAATGTTATTCAACTTTATTATATAGTATAGATTTGATATATTCTAGATTTCTATTATTTTATTTTTTGTTATATTTTTATTTTATTATATTTGGCTATACTGGCAATAGCCCTTTTGTAAATATATTACGCTTTCTTACATGCCTTAAAATCAAGCACTTATGAACTTGTGAGAGAAACGAGACAGGCTGCAAACTTGTTCAAATGGAGCTCAGATACACTCAGAGTGGCATTGGGCCTATTAAAGGGGGGAAACTAACGACAACACAACCGGGCCACAGTGCCCCCGTTGGTGCCGTTTGCTGCATTTAAACTCCCTGGTCCCTGCCTAGTACTTACTTGTAATTATTTGACGTGCCTCCCCCTGTTTTGAGCCCCCCCCCCTCCCCTCTCATAAAAAACAAACAGTCCCTAACTGCCTATTTAACAGTATAACTAACACTGATATACTGTATGTGCTGGCCAAATGATACAACTCAAACTGGATCAGAGTGGGTTTCCATATTGAAACAGTTGAACTGTGTCTGTGCTGTTAAAATGTAGCCTGGTCGTTTAAAAATGACATTAATTAGCTATTTTGTTACTTAACATATATTGTGAGGTTGTGATCAAGAAATGATTATGGGCAGAAACTCATTCATCCTCTAGCGTCCTTATTACAGCAGTGTGAACACCGTAACCTAACTTTACATCATTTTCAGGGCTGTCAACATATTCACACAGACAGCAGAACGTGACAGCTGTTCTTGATGCCATGAAACATTTTTGTTTGGGATTCTTATGCACCAGCGTACCGAGGCAAATTCCTCATATGTGAAAACTTACTTGGCAGTAAACCTGATTCTGGTATTGTAAAAGACAACATGACAATATGAGCGCAACAACAGTTAAATCACTCGTCAAACGAACCCACATCATGAAGAAGGTTATGATGTTTATTAGAAATACCAACCAGACTGGAATCATACAAAAGCAGCAACTGATATTTGTCTGAATAACTGTTTTAACACTCCAGATCTACGTCCTTTAGGTTACCCCCCCACACTTCCCATCGAGCCCCTTACTTTCCCAAAACATTATCAACTCAATCCTCCAGAACCTGAATTTTTATCTCTGAGCCAATAAACAAATGTATACAGACAAACAATAAAGCTAAATCTATGTGTGTAGGTGTGTATTGTGTGCGTCCGTCTTCTTTCACAACAGTCCCAGTTTGTATTCCACCATCATGTGTGGCTCGCCCATCATTTCACACTGGGCTGGATCTGCAAGAGAGACATAAACACGGTGTGCTGTTCAGATATCACATTCACACAGTTGTGTTAATGATTGCGTGAAGGCGAAGGGGGGGCGAGGTTCTCACCGCTGAGGACGTCCTCGAAGCCGATGGCCTCGTCACTGCCACGCAGCGTATCCAGAGCCAGGTTTGAACTCTGTAAGAACGGCAGGCGCTGGATCTGGAAGGAGGAGGGACAGACAACAGGAGTTATGAAGGAGAAGAATAAAAAGCAAGCTAAAAGGGAGAGGGGGGGAAAGGAAAACGGTTGCTAGGGCTAGGGATTGGGATTAAGAGAGACATGCCGTTACCTGTCTAGCTGCCCTGTACTCCATCTGCAGTTTGAGTGGAGCATGAAGACCCTGGATGTTTCTGAGTGTAGAGAAATTCATCTTGTCCTTGTTCAGCTGGAACTGCACACCACAGAAACACAGAACAACATTCAGTACCACAGAGACAACAGTGTCATCAAACAGAAGAAACAGGGCTGTCTGTCTGCAGTCAGGAGAACGTCCACTTTAATGTACAGGTAATTTGGTTTTATGGTTAAAACACAAAGATGATGTGTTTGGCAGACATTTTTTTTTGCATCGAAGGAGAGTCGGGACAATCTTTAGATAATCACTCAGTCCTGAGAAGACGTCTAATCTATGTAAACTTTGTGGGAGCTTTAACTAATGGTACTTTATTCTCTTACAGTTCCAATTACTCACATTCTTCTCTGACAGCTCCAGTGGGTGGCTTGGGAGGAGCTCATTCTTTACACTAGAAAAGCTGTGGAGCAAAAGAAAGTGAGATCAGCATAATAAATAATAATAAATAACAATAAATAGTAATTTGGGTTCAAGTTAGGACCAAGCACCACCTGTTACAGCAACCCCCCCTTGACAAAGATAGTTTAGTCACATAAAATCACACCATAAATATTCAAACTATCCATTGTATCCGGTCATTCTCAAATCAAATAAGTTTAACACTGCGCAGGGAGGAATTTGTAAAGTAGCACCACAATGTGTATTTACTGTACAGCTCATATAAAAGCACAGCCTGACATTCATATCAAGCTGTGTGATGAGCAGAAAGTTTTACACTTCATAAAGAAACTGATAAACCTCTCTGGTTGACAAACTGTGAAAAGTTAATGCTGTTTCTAAATTACAGTAAATATATCTACGGGGTTTTTTTGACCTGCGATTATTTTGTTACTGAAATGGTCAACACACATTAACACTGATCCATCTGCCATCATCTAACATCGGCCTGGAGGAATTATCCGTCCTGTTTTACAACTGACTGGATTTCTAGTTGTAATGGATAATCAGGAGCACAAGTGAAGTGTTGCTATAATTTGATTTAAAAAAAAAGTGAATAAAGACCAGAACATAAAGTGAAAAGCGGATATTAAAATATGATTTAACGCAATGTGTAAATAAAGTGCCACAAATCCAACTAAAAAAATGCAATAAAAATAAAAATATTTAAACGAGAGACACAACCACCTGTCTCCACCCGCACATCAGCACAGTTTATTAGTCATATATATATATATATATACACACAGTACAGAGGTTAGCACTGGGTGGTGTATTCACTGTCTCACCCGCTCCTCAGGGAGTCCCGCACTCCGTACGCTCCCTGCGGACATAAGCCTGCCACAGGTACACTGTCCTTCAGCTGAGAGCGGAGTCCTCGGGTGTCCTGTACAAACACCAACAACACATATTCACCGTTTACAAGTGCTAATATCCAGTTAGCATAGCTCACTTTACAAACACTGAGAGCTAAACATCACCTAGCCAACCCTGAGCGCTAACTAGCATTAGCTCGAGTGACTAATCAAATTCCCGACCAGCCGGGTTTTAAAGGACACAAAGACAGAAGACAAAGTTGCGAGAGGTTAAATAAATATGCGTATAAGTACAGAAAACAACAGTGTGGTAATCTCTGTGGTTCCGATGGGATAAATGATAATAAATCATTTTACAGCCATACCATTGTGATTCCGCTTCTTCTACTTTCTTTTCGACACACTGAAATATCCGGTCGAGTTGAGTCGCGTTTTCATGACGACACATCCTGTATGAGCCGGTGTTGTGAACAATTGATCAATAAAATAGGTTGTAGTCTGGTGAAAGCATAACATATGTACCCTGAATATGTACTTTCTATGTTTTTTAATCACGTAAATAATGTACATCGCGACTCCACCACATTTTAAAATAACTTCAACACCAACACTGGTCAGAGTAATGTTCAAGAACTGCGCATGTCAGCTGTTTGATATCAGGGGGTATAGCTCAGTGGTAGAGCATTTGACTGCAGATCAAGAGGTCCCCGGTTCAAATCCGGGTGCCCCCTCTTTTCCACTGTGATATGCCGATTGGACCATCGTTATTTCCTCTGTTATCATGAGCACCTCGCTATGCTTTTACTCCAGTGAGTGAACCTCACATATTTGATAACATTCAGTTTATGTCTCACTCATGAGGGTTGAAGCTGATGAAAGTTGTTAATTCCAGTATCTCTGGCACAAGATCACGTCAACATATCCAACATTTGAAGACACAAGCCTTTTCAGGGTATACGCCTTCCTTTAATATACACAACTGAGACAAAAGTCAAGGAAACACATGCTGAAGTACTTTCTATGTTTCCTGCAGGGTGTCACAAAGACTGAACAGTGCTCATCACTTTATACATGTGCAAGTCTTCTAAATGTTATACTTAATGGCATATCACATATATTTATGTATTATTTATATGGTTAAGAATATATTGTCACATGTATTTAAATATATTTAAAGCATACATTTTAGATGTCAAGAATCTCTTGTTGCCTTTGGTTTAATATAACTTTGTTAACAGAGAATGAACTGAAGTGTTGTTAATTCTGTAAGTGGAGAGATCAGAGAACAGTTTTGACAGTGAAATCTCTAATTGGGAAAAAGCTGACTGAAGGAATGGGAATGATGAATAACACTACTCCAGGACATACACTATATGAAGGCCGTTATGAACTTGATCAGTTTCTCTTTGGAACGTTCTTCAGGTACTCAGCCCTCCGTGACAGTGGAAGCAGCTCCTCCAGTGTCATCATGGTGGTGTAGGATCCATCCACCTTGGTCATGAAGACGGCATATCACCAAACTGAGAGAAAATGAATAAATCTCTGTTATAGAAAACATCAAAATGAGATGAGTAGTCAACAGAACTGTCCCGATGCTGAATCATTTTTAGACCTGCATTACCTCTCTGTTGACCCGTGGCAGGCGCCACAGGAAGGGATCACCCGGTCCTCCAGGTCACTGTAGAAAGACACTTTTTAATCAAAGTCTGGTCTTTCTCTCAGCAGCAACTTGACATACAGTAGATGCCACTGTATTGACGCCATCCATGGGAAATTTCAATTAAAATCGGAGAAGTGTTTTCTCTATATCCACACAGAAAACATACATGTAGTACCTAGAAACAGCTATAGTCTTAAATTTCTTGTATCCCTCAGAAACAGCCTCGTTTATAGCAGTCCTTTCTGCACACAGACCCAGGTAGAAGCATGCATGTTCAACAGTGCAACCTGTTAAAAAACAAAGAAATAATTTATTTGAATTGATAAAGGTGTGTTTCTGTCAGGAAAATATGGTAGTTTAAATACAGAACTTATATTTCTTATGTTTAAACAGAATAAATGCATGCTTACTGTACATGTTGCTCCTATGACTATTTAAAAATGTTTCACGTGTGAAGAGCTTTCCATCTTCTGTCAGAGGGCTGACCCCATTCTGAGTTGGGTGTAAGGGCAGTGAGAGAACTCTTTGGCCTTGTGGGACTCATGAATAAGAGATTTGATCCAGTCATCTGCATCACCAGTCTTCAGGTTTGCCATTTCAGCTGCTTTGGTTCAGTGCTACACACATATATACACTTACTGTACAGCACAGTACAGAAAACAACGTCTTTAAAGGAAAACAATTAAGTTAGTTAAGCTATTAGAAGTTCCAATCGAAGAGCTAACATGTAAATCATGACTGCAGAATGGTATAAAGGTGCTGCAGAGAGAAAGACATCCTTTAACACACTTAAACTGACCTGTGCAGGTGTGAGAGGAGGGAAGTCAGTTGCAGATTGATTTCTTCGAGCTTTGTGTTGAGATCCTTCTTTAAGTAGTGTCTTTCATTAAAATTACCATAGACTCACTCAAACTGATGGCGATACTTCAAATTCAAATTTAAGTGTCTTTCGTTGGCGTCCAGGACACATGTTGATGCCTTTACTCTAATCTATATATTTGGCTATCAAACAGTCAAAACATTCAAATGACACCCGTCGGTCTTCTGATATTCAGAGCCATTTTTGTTTGAAACATAAATCAGCTCTGTGTGCTGTAATAACACACATCACCATAAGAAAATCACATGGATCACTTTATTATTTTAGAATGATTATTGCATTGATAATAACTTGATTGCATAGCTAGATTCTTTGGAAGTGCACAATTAGCACATTAGCACTGACATGGTTTTAACAGCAGTTCATTTATTCCGTTTTACCTAACGGTCTTCATCAGACACAACAGCACGTGCATCTAACCTGGGTGGATAGGAATGAATATCTGTAAGAGGAAGACGAAGACAAAAGAAAAGGGAGAAGAAAACGGACAAGAAGGGAGAGAAAGGGAAACAGAATCTGTTAGACCCATGCTGATGGAAATACAGCCTTGTTAGTCCTAAACTTAAACAGCAGATGGCAGTACAGCAGACACTATGAAGCATTCAGTAATAACAATAAGGGATATTTTTACCTTTACTGGGCTCAGAGGAGTGACTGCATGCCAAACGTCTCCACTCCTCCGTATAACTGCACAGGCAAAAAGAGCAAAAGATTAAAAAATATTACAAAACGATGAAGATGAATTTACTTTTACCCAGTTCTGATTACAACTAGTCTATTCAAGACTGTCCCAAACTTTGAGGATCTTACTCCTGAAAGCTGAGAGTGTTGGTCCAGGCCAGGAGCTCATCCAGCTCCCACTCCAGTATCTCATCATCTCCCTTCTCTGCAATGGTGTCCATCACTTCCTGAGCCGAATTCCCCACCATCGTCGCCATGTGTCGATGCGCTGGGTGAGCCTGCTGACGACCCTGGTTGTACCTGTAGGTAAGGGAGAGAGGACGTACACACAGGACTGTGCATAACGCTGCCACAGATGTTTATTGACCACATTTTGTAATAGAACGAGGGGAATATTTGTAGAAGAAGCTCATGGTGGCTCATGTTAGCTAACTTTACTGTAAATACACATTGTCAAACTCACATCTGCTTCAGCCATTCAATCTTCCTCCTTTTCCTCCACTGGTCCACATCCTGTTGCCGCTGCAACCTGGAATGGTGGAAGTCTTTTTTTTTGTTAGCCCCGATCTCTGTGGGCTCACCCATGGGAACCATCTATCAGAGAGAAGAAGCAGCGCATTAACACAGACTTCCATTCTCATTTTGTTTCATTAAATACATTCAGCTCACACAAAGTCCCTAAGATAAATGTTTATCAGACTATTTGGTATGATCAAGGCAACCAGCTGCCATAAACTGCTGTAGCTGTTCTTTTGTATTATCTTTGGACAAATAACAGGCAGAACAGAAAATGATCTCCGACATGTTACTGACCCTGCAACAGAAGAGCCTCCAGCTGTTGTTCTCCATACGCTGGTACCATCCTGAGTTTTCCACCTGCACAAGAGGCCGGCCATTGTTGGTGGGCCGGGCCGCAGGCTTCTTGAGGCTTCGCTGTGTGTAGTTCTTTGGGCTGTTGGCACACACGTCGGTGATGGGTCGATGGGTGAAGATCTTGTAATAGATGTTGGGAGGAAAGGTAATCTGAAGGCAAAGGGTTAAGTGAGAATTTAGCAGGTTATCATACTCACATAGTTGTTGGAGTAGTTTATCACTATTTCCAATTTGGCTCTCACCCCTCCGAGACGAAATCTGATGTACGCCCCAGCAGCAGCGTCCAGCAACTCTGCCTGCCACAGGAAAATCTAATCTCACCATTTATTTTATTTGTTGTTTTTATTCTACAGAGAGCGTGGTTTCTGTTACCTCTCTAGGGTTGACAGTTTTGAGGATCGTCCGTGGATCCCCCTGGTTGCAGTGGCTGATAAGCTCTTTGAAATACCTGAAGACCTCTCTGTGCTACAGTTTGGGTTGGAAAAATAGTTTTTAGTTTATACCTGTGCACGTTTTCCTTTAATTTCTGCATGTACAAGAGTGGGCGTGGCCTCAGCAGCAGCACCCACCACATAACTTTTCCAGGCTCTTTGAATTATTCTAACTGCTATCTGCTGGGGGCCCTCTTCCTGTGAGCTGGAGCTGTGTAGAGAAATGAGAAGATAGAACAGGATGAGGAGGAGAAGAGAAGATAGTCAGGTGCAGTAAGATTTTCATTTTTTTCGTTTTACAGTCATTTATTGGAAGCAGCAACAAGAAACTTCTGTTTGATTTCTGTTGATTCTGGACAAAAGCAGTAATGTTTCCACCATCTTGTTTAATTGATTTCAAGGGGAATCTGACTGAATCCAACCCTGTGGCAGGCATCAAGAATAACTATATAGAAATAGCCAGTCTTCTCTCTGATGGGCTGGTGTATTTATAGATAGAAACGTCTCATTCTAAGGTGATAACGCACCAATGATGAAATTACTAAAAACACACTAATGAAAATTACATTTAATTTCGCCGATATAGCCTGCTAAATGTTACAAACTGGACCTTTATGTGTTTAAATATTCTGCACTGTAATACTTCTATTCCATCACATTTTAGAAGGAAACATTGTACTTTTTATTCAGAAAAATATATGATAATAATTATTATTAATAAAGTACATTATATATTAATGATTTATATAATATAATATTATTTTATTAATTAAAAATATATTAAACAGCTATAGGAAGTAGCTCCACATTGCATTAATAATAATAAATAATACAATATCTGATATGACTCTTAAAGGAGTCATATTGTTACTCTGCTGCATAATAAGTTGATGCTATCAGTACAGTTTGCTGATACTAATATGGTGCTTTTACTTTTTTAATTTGAGCATATATCATAGAGGTCCGTCGGTGTCCTGGAGTGTCATATTCAAAGTCAATGTAATGAGTTATGGTATCATTATAATGAGGTCCCAAAAAGGTTGAGGAACCCTGGACTAACATTGTCAAAGTGTCAGCAGTGTAACTGTAACGTTAGTAACAGTGAAGCTAACTCCATGTTGGGAGTTAACGTTCATTTAGCTTAATTAACTATTAGCTAAACAAAACACAGGCCACACACAGTATTTAATAAACAGCTTACAAAAAAGACCTTGTTTTTATACATACACACTCAAATAGACACACAGCCAGACAACAACAAAAATTACCTCATGACTTCCTCTGAATTTAAGTTCATGTTCATGAGTTGACCGACTATTTCAATAGGTTACCTGGCAACGTAGTGCGTCAGTGTTACAACAATAAAGCACACGTTGTCCACAATAGACTTTCAAAACAAAAGCTCATCCCATACCTGTACCTATTACAAACATCATAAACATAGGCTACTTACTTTGTGATATTTACTTCACTGACTTCAGCAGCGGGTGCGGCCCAATCTGAAAAAGACTGACAATGCATTTGTGTTGTGGTTACGTTAGTTGAATATTTTGAATACAGTTGGTTTGTGTTTCTTGAAAACATTAAAAAGTCAAGGCAGAGACGAGTCCTCACTCCTCACCACTGCCAAGGGGTTATCGACGGTACGCAGTAGCCAGGCACCGGGGGGCAGAGTGGCCTGTCTGTATTGTCGCTGATTCCGCCCCTTCAGTACCCCCTTAATAGGGCCCCCACCAGCCGCTCTGGATGCACACAGGCTCAACAGCGGGAGTTTTAAAAGCTAGCAGCCTGTCTGCTGTATCTCTGTTTAACTACCCAAGTTAACTATAAAAGTGTAAAATATATATATATATATATTCAGAGGAAGAATTTTGTGGCCTCATGTGCTTCCAAACATATTCTCATTCAACAACTCAGTCTCAACCCTCCATGTCTGACAGAGTGCCGCTGTTAGCTCTACCATGTTATCTAGCAGCAGGTAGCTCCGTGCAGGTAGCTGAGAGCGACCGATGGTGGACTATGTGGATTTGGATAGTTAACGTAACGCTACTGTGGATTCAGACTGACTATGAAAACATCACTGGTAAGTTGTTTAATATATTCATTATTTGAGATGACGGACTCATAGATGCTGACTGTCTGTCCTGTTGTTTGTTGTTGCTTGTGTTGTTGACCGCCGTGTCTGTTTGTTGTTGTTTTATTATTGTAGTATCATAATAATGGCATGACACACATTGCTTGCATACTTGAAGCCTTTGTTTTCATAAGTGGGTTGATTATGTGGTTTGATTGTGTAGGCCACTGGTTCCCAACCTAGGGCTCGGGACTCCCACTAGGGGTCGCCAAAGCTTCATAGCGGGTCTAATTTTAAGGTTTGCTAGAACACTTAAACGGTATACAGTAGGGGTCTATCTCAGCATTTGGTTCACTTCTGTGAAGAAAAGTAAATGTAAAGTACATTGTTAAGTAAATTGTCTGATAGAATAATGGCCAAATGTCAGGGACAGGACTGAATTTGTCAAAAAAAATAAGCCTATGAAGTCTGTATGAATCTTAAACAAGTTTAAAAAAATACATAATACAGACAGAGAAATATATAGAAAGTTCCTTAAAGAGGAAATAATCTGCTCAAAATTCATTCAAATCACTCACAACATCTGGAAGTTTCTGAGTTCACTTCTTGGGTTCATTGTACAGTTATAATATGAAATATCCATAATAAATATATCTATGAAATATGTCACTTAGTCAGGGGTTGTCAATTTAATACATGCTAGAAAAGTGGTCCTTTTTAATAAAAAAGGTTGGGAACCACAGGCGTAGGCTGTATGGGTTGTATGTTGTTGTGATTCTTAAATATCGGCAACCTGTTGGCCATGAGATGGAGCTCTTTAACAAGTAACTTCTCTTTGGCTTCACCACCGTTCACATGTTACACATTGCTGTCAAACTTGCTCATGCATGCACCACACACCCCAAATCACTAAGAATCTTTTGCACATGTGTAATGAGTAATGTTCTTTCCTCTAAACCTCCTGACTTGAACAGCCAAGCCTTCTGCCTCCCAATCCATTTACTCAATTAGTCGGTCAGACAATGTCACGCAGTGTCATCAGGATGTGAGTGATCTCTCTCTGGTTATAAGCAAAGCAGACCTATTGGGGTTGTTTAAGTGACTTTATGCGACTGACTGTATTTAAACATATACTGGGAGTCTTACATCACAGAAAGGCACACATATGCAGTAGCCTAAAGCCTGTACACAACACCCAATTACAATCAGTTTTTACGGCAGTGAAATTTAATGTATTTACAGTTTTAAGATGTCTGGTTGTTATGTAGTGAAGTAAATAAAAACCACACAGGATCATTTTCACGGCAGCAGTCTGAGGCCAGCCCAAGCCACATATGCAGAGTTTCTTGGCAATATAAAGTTTCTCCATTTTATTAAGGCCTGTCACTAACTTGTGACCAACCAAACGTGCACCGAACCCAACTGAATCAATTACAGCTGAATCCAGTCACACCACAAAAAAAAAATATTCAGGTCCAATTCCTGCCATTTCAGCTGTGACAGTTTCAGACTGAACGTTTCAATCAGTGGAAAGTGAATTCACAATGAGAGTCGAACTGTGTATTTATTAGCCGCTAGATAGTAAAAACTTAAATTTCTGTGGCTCACAGGAAACGGAGGCGATAGTCCTGTTTGCTCTCCAGAACAAACAGTGCTCATAATCCAGAACCAGAGCGGTGGCTGATATGACTTGCTAACTAGACAGATGTCCATTATGCAAATGCGTTTCCTCTCCAAAGCCTGTGGGCATGTAGCAGAACTCAGTTCACGTTTATTCCAAGCAGAAGTCTTCCACTTATTTCAGTCAGTTTATTTCTCTCCAGGGGCAATTCTCTGTCATCTTGACTCCTACAAGAATAGACATTTATATCAGCCCTATTTCCACACTTTCAACCCGTAGAGAAAAAACATTTTATTGGCTCAGACTCCTGAAATATAACTCTAGGACACATATATTTTACTTAAATTTATATATTTAAATATTTTGTAGACCTCTGCGTTGATGGGGTGACTGATAATGTGTGTTGTAAAGGAAGAAGAGGGGGAAAAAAAAGTTTTTATCAGACCCAATTACCCACAGTACGTTTGGAAAAGTGTGTGAAATTAGTGTGAAATTAGATAAGGTTTTGCATATTAGGTTTCCTGTTGATAAAGCCGCCATAATTATGACAAAACGCAAATCTCTCAGTTTGTTGATGGCTTGGTATTTTAATTAGTTTAGAGTTTGGCTGCCAAGACCAACAGCAAGACAGAAACACAAATATCGAGGACTGAAAGAGAGCGAGGGTGCGAGTCACAGGGTCCTTATGAAGAGAAAAAGAAAGCTGAATCCAAAGTGGTACTTAATTCACCTTCAACGCCTCATTGTGCGTCAGTGAGGGGTTTGTAGAAGAATGAAAATGGTGGAATAACATAGATTCTGATTGATTTAAGGATGTAATTGTCTTGTGCATCCTTTTGCTGATCTCGACCCGTCACTGCCACACCCGCTCTGAAGAGAGGACAGGGAAATGAGTGGCGTCCTTGTATAATAACACACAAGGACACATTATATATTCACACCATTTCCATGGGTGTTCCCATCTTCATACCAACCCTGCATTTTAACGAGGTGTGCCAAATTTAGACAGTCATTGTGTCACCGAACGATGTGTCTCCCCTCCTCACTCATCAGCCACACGCTGAGGCTGTGTTATTTCTTCCTTTTCAGTTTCTGATGAGTATTTCTGTTCCAGTGTAAATGGCTTTTACCTCAGGGTCCAGGAGAGACGGCAGCCATGTTGATGGTTTCTCTCAAATGGAAATGCTTTGTCTTTCCAGACCCTCATCAGTGTGGGAAAAACACAAACGCATCAGTCACTTTTTATGGAGTTCACAGGGAGAATGTGCGTCACATTAGCTTCAACAGTTCAACCCCGAGAGCAGTCCTCAGGGCAGTTTGTTCCTTCTGCATTTCAACTTGATCCAATCACAGAGGGGGCAAACAGTTCACGGCTTCAACAGTAGGGGGCAGTATGACACTAAATACACATGTTGCATAGGTGTAACACATCTGGGGAACACAGCATTGTTATAGGGTGATATTTGAGTCGCCCTCCACTAAAAAATATATCTTGGGCCAGTTTTCAACTCATACAAGTGTGATGTCCACATCCACATCGGTTTCTGTAGATTGCCACATTGCAAATGACTTACTGGAAGTCAACAGAGAAGTCAGATCTCTCAAAATAATGGATAAATGGTTGAAACCTCCATATTCTGCAAGAGCTAGTACAAACGAAAGGGAGACTAACACAATTCCAGGATCACTATCTCTCGTATGAAACATATTGTTACTATCATATCCACTTTGGTATAATTAATAGTGTACATCCAGTAACACATGTAGCATATGATGGGTGATGCTTGAGCTCATTGAGTTACATCAGACATAAAAGCCTTATGGCCCCTGGACTATTACAGCAAATCAATAAATATACTGAAATATCAGCCTTTAATTGGTTAAACTGAGTATGACATAGAATCAGGGTCACTCATAATCAATAATCCTGTTTGACAGAGAGAGAGCCCATGCGTTGATATGAACAAAGCAGATCTGGGGAGGTCCCATTCACTGGTCTTTTTCAGGGGCCCTGTCATGTCTGTTGGTGGGCCTGCACAGAATGAATCACAGACTCTTGTTTAGTGGTTGCAGGACTGATCCCCCACATCCTCTCCCTTAATTCATTCATGCAGACAATAAATAGATAGGAAATATGCAGAGGATGCTCAGAGCAGCCAAGTGGTCCTTAAGGTTAAACTGAGCCTCTCAAATTTCACAAATGTGATCCAGTATCAAAGAGCAACACACCGAAACCCTTTTGTGCACCCTCATTGTAACTCCACGTAGATACAAGCACTGTGTAAACACTGTGGAGGACTTTGACTCAGTGCTGCAGGTGATGGAGCTATAGTGAGTAGTAATAGAGTGCTCAGATCTGCCTCAGGGTGTGACAGAAAATCCCAGTGGGCTAAGCTTGAATGATGATAATTTATAAAGGCTTACACATGGAAATATGTCACACTTGCCCACACACAGGCACGCATAAACAAATGCCCACACACATACAAGATCACAGAGGCTGGCAGGTTACATTACATATGGACCAGCAGGAGCGGTCACACAAATTCAAAATTCCCCTTTCAATTCTAGCTGTGTCACTCACATTGGGCCTCATGCGGGAACCACTTGTATGAACAGATTCGTCCTTAGGTGGCACGTACGAGTGACCTAAGAGAATTTGTATTAATTGTGTACATTGTGTTAGCTCACACAACACGTTTTTCACTGGCACTTTCTGCACGGCCAGAACCTGCGACTGTTACGCTCACACTGTACGGATCAATGCTGTGACCTTCAACAAACTTGCATGTTAAAACGACAACGAGTTCGGTGAATCCAAATGGCAACGCTTGCAGCACTAGTAAGAGAGATTTAGGATAGGAATATGAAAATGTGCTTGCGTGAGACCCCTACCTGAGAACGTGTCACATACCAAACATAAGTTGGAATCAATTCTAGGGAATCAATTGCAGGAAAACTCTGAAGGATATGAAATAGTGTGCTCGGAAACGAGAAGATATTCAATAATACATCTGAAGGCTGAATAATGCAGAAAACATATAACTACTGTAAGTGCATAGGGGTTTGTGGGATTACGTGTGATGTTTAGATGACACGTTCGCGTATGTACAGTGACCCATTTCTTATGATTGTATCCGTGCAGACTGTCGTACACTGTATACGCTCATACTGTACATGAGCATAAGGCAGCAACTTGTTTTTCAGTCGTCTTGCCATGTTTGTACTTTATGATTAAACTGAACCGACTCCAGACAAAAGGTTTAGATTTCAGCCAGCATCGCCATGGCAACATCCTTCACTTCATCATTCAGTAGCTACTTTCACATTCAACAGGATAGAAAACTGCTAAAATGACCTTTTACTTTTCATTTATTCTGTCTGCTGGATCCTGTGAAACCGGTGGCCTGGCTCCGTCCGGTTTTCTATGGACTTCACATATAATGTCTTAAACAGTGAGTTTAGTTAAGATATATATATCTTGTTTAGCCCATACAAAAATGGAAGGTATAAAACAGGTTGTGGCTCGCAGCAGTAACTTAGACACACAGTAGCACACTAGGGCGGCAACGGTTAGTCGATTCATCGACTCATAGTCAGCTTTTTGATTAATCAGCAATTTTTTGTCAATCAATCGTTTTGAGTCATTTTTTAAGAGAAAATGTCTAAATTGTCTGATTTCAGCTTCTCAAATGTGAATATTTTCTGGTTTCTTTATTCCTCTATGGCAGTAAACTGAATATCTTTGGGTTGTGGACAAAAGTCATCTGAGGACATCAGCTTGGGCTAAGGGAAATGGTGATTTTCACTATTTTCTAGCTTTTTGTGGCCCAAACAACAAATTATGAATTCATATTTCATTGCTGTCTAATTGATAGACTAATTGATCGTTAGTTGCAGTCATGCAACATGTTGCACATGCAGCAGATACAGAGCTACATTAACATTCATGTGGAGTCGTGTTTTTGACCACCTTGCAGATATAAGTTTACTATTCACTCCCTCTCGGGTCTGTTTTTGGTCTACACCATCTCCTGAGGAGAACGTATGACACTTTTTGCAGCTAAATTATGTCGATGATAGCAGTGAGAGTGAACCGAAACAACAGAAATGCGGGCCAGAAAAACCAAAACCAAAAGCTGAAAGACGTTCTAAAGCTCCGTAGAGCTGCAGACTCGGGTGGTAACTCTACTGGGGTTCATCACTATGAGTGACTCCTTTCATAGACAAGCCATGTGTTTCATTGTTAATATAAAAAAGATGGATTATAGCAGCTTTAAAGAATGCCATTTACATTCCAGCGTCAGTAAAATCTCAGCATTTCCACATTTGTCAGCTTTGTTATTTTCAGTGGCACATCAACAGTAATATCTGCAGTTGCTAAAAGGCATTTGAGGGATGAACACAGCTATTCTTTCTATTGAGAAAACCCTGTATGCATCAAATACTGACTGTGAAACAGTTTCAGCAAAGCAGAAGGTATTTCTTTTCTTATTGCCTTTAACTGGTAATGACAACTGAAAAGTGATAGGAAAGTGGGGAGAGAGAGGGGATGATGCACAGTAAAGGGCCACAGGTTGGACTCAAACCCATGGCTTCTGCAGCAAGGACTCAGCCTTGGTAAATGGGCCAGCTCTAACAGGGAAAAACCCCGGCCCTCCTGAAGGTATTTATTTTCTTTAAGAAGTGTTTACAACGTGCCATATCTTCCCCTAGATCAGAACTAGTTTTGTGTTCTCCTTTGGATCTCTTTAAAGAAGAGAAAATTACAGTTTTAGAAAACACAATAAAGACACAGTGCCTACAGACAGTATAAATGAGCTTGTTTAGTATTCATAAGTTGGGACGTTTCCTTCTGACTAGTTTGTTTACAGCCCAAGGTCATTATTCCTCATACTTTCACAAGTTAAAGAATGATTTTTAAACATTTATTCATTAGGTTTGAGTGCTTTACATCAACCCACACACCCACACAGAGGTTTATGTGCAGAGCGGCTCAAGTACACGCACACACTCACCCACACACACCTCAGACTGTAAGAAGTCATTGCAGTGACCAACCTTGAGACTTTGCTGCAGCAAATGTTATTGGTGGTAGGAAAATTGATTTTGTGTGTTGCACAAACTTCATCATTTCCAGCCAGCAATGAATCAGCTCATGTCAGACTTGGTTAGTTTTGATCTTGTAACTGATATATTTATTTTATTTCTTATTATTTGTTTTTAATGAACAAATGCAGCGTTTCTATTAGACGTCATTAAAGAACCCAAAAGGCACAAGAACTGGGTTTGCTGGGAAGTCCTCCGGTGGCAGACTGTACATCAAATTGACAAGAAATAGATGAGATGCTGCTCTACTGACCTTTTAAGATGTAGCAGAGATACGGGGAATGAAGCCGTGTACTTTATCAGAGCAACTCGGCACGCACACACTTAAATCAATAAGTGGAACAATAGACAAAGCTCCCTCTAATAAAACTAATAATAGACTCAGCAGGGGCGGAGGCGGGGGACACACAGGAGTATCAGTGAGCTCATACTTTGTCCTTCCTCAGACTCTGTTGTTTGCTCTTTTTATCTTCTGTTTTCTCTTCATCATTGTTGTCTCTGCTGCCTCTGTGATATCTCACATCCCAGCACAGTCGGCTCATTTTCTCTTCTTCTTCGCGTGCCTTCATCCGCCTCGCTTCCCCCGTCATATGAAAGCAATAGCACTGTGTGGTCGTCTGTGGTTTGAGGCAACATGTAGCTCTCTTTCATCCTGGTGGAGAGCTTTCATTAATGACATTGTTTTTCTTGTTTCTTCACCCAGCTGATTACACTTTTGCATACATAGAGATGATTAGTGTTCAAATTGAACACTAATTTTCCTTTTTTCAATTACCCTTTCTTTTCCCTTCTTTCATTTTCAAACATGCCAAGCCAACAGCTCCTCTAGGCTTTCAGCCTTTACCCACTGTACCCACACTTCCTCCATCTGTCTGTTTGCTCTCTGCCTAGCTCTTATCTGTCCTCTTTGCCTGTTATCCAGCTCACTCTGTCTGCCTGTTTCCCTTCTCTGCCACTCTCTGACCCGCCTGGCGACCCAGTAATTCTGGTTTTCATCCCAGCTGTGTTTCCGTTGCCTCTCTACAAAGACTTAAGCTCCTTGAGAATGGTGCCTATTATTCTCTGACACTTCCAAGTGCTGAAAGCGAGCAGGATGGTGGTTAAAGCCACTGACAAATTCTCAATAAAAGATCAAATGTTGTTCTCAGAATCCGCCTGAACTGCCCTGTTCGTGCTCAGTATCTGCTCACTCATTCATTTCTCACATAGAACCCAGCTTGATGTCTTGCTATGACGACCAGAGTAGTTCACTTCTGACACTTAAGAACAAGTACTACTAAACACTGACATTAGGTTTTGGGAGTATTACAGCTGAAGGTGCTCAGAATGAATGCAAAGTAAATGTCTCACTCGCATATTTGCACAAATGTAACGTTTGGAGTCGCAGTCAATGCACTGATTATACAGATGTTAGCCAGCCAGCTAAAGAAAGCATTATAATCCAGCCACAAAGGTCTATTGCATGTCCAACAAACCTAGTGCTGACGCATTTAGGAATTCATCCCTTTTTTTCGAAGTGCTATACTTCCCCAGCTTGCTAGCGCATGTGTTCATGTTCATGTTCATGTTTATGTTCATGTGACTCCAAACTGATCACAAAACCTACCAGGACTACCAGGCTTTTGTCTCTCCTTTCCTTCTAATTGCTCTATGAGCTGTGGTTATAAAGCCTTAGAATAAATGTTAAATTGAAACATTTTCATTGAAATGTATCTTCAAATCAATGTGTCACTTTGTCTCATAACAGTTGCTGCTGATCACACACTCACGTCTTCCTGTTGTCTTCATAGGCAGTCGCACTGCTTCTAAAATTGAATTCTTGTTAAGTCTGAACACACCTTGGTTCCCTGTGGAGTTTTCTTGTAAACAAACAAAAGTTAAATACTGCATTGTTTGCAGCCACGTGTACTTTGAGTAGTCTTGCTAACTAGTAGGTTTACTTAAAGCTTTTTATTTCCTACCGCAGCAGGGGACATGGGAGCCTGCTCAGTTGCTGTGGAGGAGAACCTCTCTCTCCTGCAGATGTGTGTAGGGGTAGCAGGTGCTAGCGGTTTGGATCCAGTATGGTGGAATTCGTCTTGCCCCAAACAGGCGTCTCTGCTGTCTGGGGAACAGGCCGCTGCGGATGGGAAGAATGCTGTTAAAAAAGGTTGTTAAAAACAGCTGTGTGGCTTTGCTTTTGAATTTGCTGAATTTCCTTTTGCTGCCTTTAAACACTGTCCACAGAGCTAACATCCATCTGCTTCCCACCTCTGGCATCATTCCTCCATGTGTTTTGTGCTCTGATTGTCTTATCAGTGCCTTTTTCCAGGTCTAGGTCTTCTTCCATTTGCATGTGTTGTGAGAGCCGTGTGTCAGCCAGCCCTACCACAACCCTGTCCCTGATAAGCTCGTCATGGAACGTCCCATAATTGCAGTGCTCTGCTTAATGCATAGGCCAGTGACAGTGGCGTTTGCTTCTTGCTTGCACATTAAATCTGCTCTGCTTTGTTCATTTACATCTCCCTCTTTCTCACTGGATTACTGTTTCTCTGTGGATTAGAAAAATGACTCTGATTTACAGGACATTATGCGACATTACGTGCAATATCTGATTTGATAATGTACATGCATAAATAAACCCCACTCCTCATACATATCCCTGATCCCTACTACTGTTAACCTGTTTATATTTCTGGCATTGTGTATGTTTGGATTGCACCTTTTTCATTATTGTCTAATATTTTGTTCTATGTAAGCACTCTTCCCACTTTGTACTGCATCTGCTGCACACCAAATTCCCTCGGGATAAATAAAAGTTCTAAATTATATTATCTTACTTTATATGGACACAGAACTCCAGCGTTATGTCTCAGCTTTTCAGAAAGACTGATAAAAGATGCTATCTGCTGCAAAATAGCCTCCACTGAGAACCCAAAGTTCAGCAGAAGCTACTCTGAAAATGAGGCACGGCTTTGGCTTTGAAGGTATACAATACTTTCATTGCTGTCTCCTTAAAAGTATACTGAATGTGCGTATAGGTGTAATCCGAGCTTGTAAAGCAATTTCAGGCTAATCATACTTGAATGTGCCTGTGTAGAAGTGTATGCAATCAGGATCTGAGTTAGTTTTGAGTTGCACACATGAATACTGACTAGAGGCTGATTGCACAACCACATAGTCAGACACTCAAACACACAAACATTATCACAAACCACAAGAAGCCTGTCTGAGACTGCTGCCTTTTTGTCCCGTTATTATAATTCATTTAAGCAGAAGCCCAACAGGATTCAAGGCTTCATTAGGCAAAGCCTTCCTGTTTTTCCACCAGAATGTAATTGAATGTAAACAAATATCCGGAAGTAAACAAAGTAGCCGCCAAGGGGCTCCGTTACTACTTCCTTTAGTAGGTAATTACAATTCATTATGTTTTTAGAATGACTCACTGATCGTATTAGCTTTTCGGTTGTTAAGTAAATGTCGAAATAGCAGCTATATGTTGAGGTGAACGCATACATTTCAATTTATTTGAAATCGGGCTGTTTAATCTAAGTCTCAGTCAGATTAATGCTATCACCTGTGTCTGTTTAATGACAACAGCTTGTATGTACATTATCAGCTTGGTGTGTTTGGTGCTTACAGTGTTCAGTATGGTTTGCACCGAACCCAAGCCGATTCCATCCTTCCCACCACTCTATTGCCAGCACACAAGCAATAAACAAACTCAAATTGGCTGACAATAGCCTGTTGCAGACACTTTCAATGGCAGTGGCAGGCTGAGTGCTTATTTAGTGAGCCTGGGCGTCTCATTTGCCATGAAAAAAAAGCTGTGTCAATTCCTTAAGATGGGTGGAAATTGTTTCCTTCGGGGGGTGAGCACAAAGGAAGCCAATCCCAATGAGGATGAGTAATAACTATGTGTTTCTTTATTGGGCCCTGAAAGGAAATAGGAAGATTAGAGCATCAGCAGCTGTGTAACAACACTTCCAAGGCTGGGAGGGATTTGCTGGATTTCACTAGAGCACTTGAGCTTTGCAAATATTTGACCAAAACCTGCATCCTGCGCTTGAAAGACGGTACCTTGATTTCCCTGGGTCACCCAAATACCACTGAAAAGCTTTTGTCAAAACAGCTTCCTCAATGTGAAACAGCAGGGGAGAACCACTAATTTACACATTTCTCCCAAAATGTGAAACCCTCCTAAACAGAACTGTTATGGTGGCAGCAACAAATCGAACAGAAGTACTACTTTGAGCAGCATTCTGTGGTTTGTTGCCTTTTGAAATGATATGTTTTATACATTTATAAATCTGAATGCACCCTTTGATGTTGATTGTTTGGTTGTTATTCCTGACACCATAGTGAATACGTTCACTCTAATTAACTGGTAATAAAGAACACAGTAAATTCTCTGGGCTTTACATAAAACAAAGATACTCTGTGACAGGTAGGAGGAAATGATCAGAAAACAACCCCCACAGGCCAAAAAGACACCAAGTAACTATAACCTTTCAACCTTTTCCCAGCCACCTTCATGTTATCACTGTTTTTATAGTTTGTTTGTAGTGTAGTTTGTAGATTATCTCAACCTGCAGAAGGTTCCTAGGACATAAGCAGGATGGCAGTGTTGGTTGGCAGTTTGTCGGTCCACCACTTTGGTCCAGACTGCAATATCTCAGCAACTACTGGATGGATTGCATGCATGTTGGTGAGCATTGTGAGCCAGTAAGCATGCTGACATTAACATTTAGCTCAAGGCACAGCTGTGCCAATGTGCAGCCTCACAGAGCTGCTAGCATTGATATAGACTCTTTTAAACTACAGGCCTATAACATGGTGCACATTGTGTGTGTGTGTGTGTGTGTGCACGTGCACGTGCACGTGTGTGTGAGTGTCGGGAAAGAGAACAGGTGCTTCCTCCTTTTGCAGCTTTTCTCCACTGACCTTTTCCCCTTAAGAAAATGACTTGTACGTGATATCAATAGCACACACACCCACACACACACGTTCAGATTGTGTCCAGATTTTTTTTTCTTATTATTTTTAGCAGCTTGAGCCATGGCTTTTCCCCATTGTTCAAGATTAACACACTTGTTCAAAGCTGTTCACGAGAGGTTTGATAAAGCCTGAAAAAGCAGACGTAGCCTCAGTCTATATTGTTATTCCTGGGTCGCATATTTTGTGCTATTTTAACATGGCCTTAACTGGGACAATAAACAATGTTTTCTTTCCCTCTGTGACCATTGTAAAGGTTTGAATAGAGACACTGATTGTATTGCACTTTCCCACTGTGCTAATTGTCGAATCAGTGGAAATCGTTTCATTAGCAGACGTCTCGGGTTGTTCAGGACAAACAGAAATGATTTTTTATCTAATGCAATCAGCAAAACCCAAGGCACCTGGTAACTCTTAATTCCAATCAAATAACATGAGTTGAGTGTAAATAGGGTCTGAGGTGCAATACTGGTATATTATTACTTGTTGTATAACACCTCTGCAACATCTTGTGTCCTGATTTTGGCCCAATTAATCCCATGCAAATCATTCTATTGTCATATAGAATAGAGTTAGAAAGTTAAAAGGGTGCAGATTAATACTTTATGAAGTGAAGAATCTGAAGCTGGATGGCAATGTGGGCCAACATCAACATTCCCCTCTCTCAGCCATCACTCTTGACACAGATACAGTAGGAGTTTCCACAGGATGGCTGACTCAGTGCGGGCACGTGCAGGACAGCCCTTTTTGGAAAGGCTATAAATGGCTATCCAGTCTGTCCAGAACTTCCCAAAGAGCTCCTCCAGCCAGCACAGAGAGGTTTGCTCTGGCTGTAGGTGGAGGCAGGAAGGCAAGTCCGAGCTGCAGGAGACTAATATTAAAGGAAACAGGAACATATCTGTGTAAAGCTCCAGCTGCTGCTGGCTTGATAATGGTTTTACAGTCTGTAGTCTGACTAACTTTACTCTTAACAAAGTTCACAGACTGAGCCATATCCTCTATATGAAGGAAGAGGAAACTTTTAAGTGGTACTAAGTAATTTATGACCTCTATAGGACCAGTAGGAATTACAAACAACTTCAGTGGCTTGATCATTATTGCATATACATTGAATGATGAATGATTCTTTTGCTGTATTATTACCTTGCGTCAGAGGCCTATGCAATTATGTAGTACAAAATGGGATCATATTGAGGTATCCTCCATCATGTTAACGTAATCAGCTGCTTTCTCTACTGCTGTCCTTTGTAGCTGTGGGTGACTGAAGCTAGCTTTCTAGCATCTATCCAGATGTATTGCAAACTTTAACCAAATTCATAGTCACTGTGTACAGTGGCTTTATGAAAGCTTTTCTGGTTAAAACAGATGCCTGCTGCAACTGGAAATGACATTGATGAGAGCGGTGAGACTAAATCAAAACAGGTTGTGGGCCGGAAAACCACTAGAGCTGAGTGGAGCTGGTGAGTTGAGTGATAATTCTCTCTGTGGGTTTGTCAATACGAGCTATGTCATTTAATCTGTTACTGTAATATGGAAATATATTATTTGGAACAGCTGATCCCCTCCAGGCACACATTAAGACATACAGTCTGCTTGGATTAATAATGTTTTCACCTCAAAAAGAGTACATTAAAGTCCTAAAAAGGCATCTACTCCTTCTGCCTCATTAAAATTTCCAGCTCTATGAATATGGACATTTTGTTCATTTCTTACATTTTCCTGCTGAACACAAGATGTCTCCTACTTCACTGTAAAGTCCATTCTCAGTGGATGAGGCTTAAGGTTTCTACATCACACTTGTATATGTTGCATACTGGACCAGAGATGACTTCCAAAGTATTTATGATGTCACAAATAATGTTCGTATGCCCCGCCCCTTAAAATCTGATTTTCAATGAGCACAGAGAAACTGTCCACTTTCCGCAGGACTGTGAAAACATCCTTCTACTGTCACACTGTGAACACACATTATTCTACACAGTGAGCTCAAACATTTAGCTGTAGGGGCAAGAAGAAAAATATATTTTTGAGTGGAGGGGGACTTTCAAAGTTTAAACAACTTTGCAAGGAAGGGGTAAAATAATTGTGCAATTTACTTCTTATCTTGGTACTCTAGATTAGAATGCCTCTTATTACTCCTGGTCCACAGCCACGTAAATGCTACTCAATCCACTCCTAATGACTGTGTGGCCTCATTAAATTGGGGCAGTACACAGACAAATTAGAGACTGACAACACAACAAAATGAGCTCTCTCAGAAGTTCAGAGACCAAACACTCAGATGAAGTCTTCTACCTGCAAGTGAAGTGTGCCTTTTTCATCCTGCAGATCTCAGAATACACAAATAATGTTAATTTAAGCTGTTTATCAAC